CACTCCATCACCGGCAGAGTCCAGTCATCAACAATGTGACAGGGTAGTTGCATGTGCCCACCGCAGACCATGGAGACCGGCCTGCTGTGATTGACGAGCCTGAATCAAGGAATAGGTTGGAAGGAGTCATCGCCCCGAAGCCCGCTTCACATCATGCGTCTGGCCAGGTGGGCGAGCCGGCAACACCGTAGATCGCAGAGGGAGTGTTAATGGAGATCGACGGCTTAGCTGAAATCCCCGCCCACACTCCCGGCACTGTGAGCGAGTTGAGCCTGGCCTCTGGAGCTTATGACGAACTTAAGGACATTTTTGAGGAGGATCTTATAGACTGGTTTGGAGAGGTTATTCCCAGTTCCCCTGAATCTCCTGCATCTTCGCTGATTCCGTCCAGCCCAGAATCTCATACGTCCCTGCTGGTTCAGCCCAACTCCTGTTCTCCTGTGTTCCCTCCCAGCCTCCCTCTCCCACCTCCTCAATCAGCCAGTTCCTCAGCCCCGCCTCCGCTGCTGTCCTTCAGCCCCTTTGCATCTCCCAGATGCTGTAAGGATCTGCCATGTGTCTTCAGGCCACCAGCTCCGTCCAGCACAGAGGATCCCCTGTCTCCGCATCCAGCATCTGTGCCCATCACTCCACCTCGACCTGTCGCCACTTCAGATCTGCCTTGGCTCCTCCCTCCCTCGGCTCCACTGGAAACCATCAGCCATAAGTCTTCTCCGGGCTCCCTTGTCCCACCGGCTCAGCCTCTGTCCTCTGGTCATCCGGCTCAACCTCAGACGCTCACCGCCGTGGCTCCACCTTGGTCTCCAGTACCATCGGCATTGCGTGGGCTCATCGGCTCCACCTGGGTCCCCTTCAGTGGTGGCTTCTTCTCCGTCGGTCGTCCCCAGGGTGTCACCTACCATCAAGTTGTCTCCACTATGGATCCTCCTGCCTTCAACTCCACCCTAAGGCCTTGTCCTGGCTGGACATTGCATCTGGCTCCTCCTGCTCCTAGCTCCCCACTGGCTCCTCCCACCTTACACTCCACCTTGGACTGCTTTAGAGACTTTGGACTCCTCCAGAGCCCCAGCCCTCCCTCCTCAACTATTCTATTTATACGGTGCGAGGACACGCCTTCCCGGGAGGGGACGAACTGTTACATGTATGATCTGTGTTCCCTCCTTTGTGTTTTGGTTTTGGCCTGTGACCTAGTTTTCCTGAGTTGTCTTATTCTTCATTATATTCAACTGTGTCTTGTTAATTAACTCATTAGTTCCTCGTTTGCTTTGTGTACTTAAGACTTCAATTCTACCTCAGTATTTGTTGGTTCTCATTTGTGTTTGGTAGCGTTTGTTCCTGTTCTCCAGTGAGTTTGATATTAAACAAGTGTTCCTGAACTATTCTTCTTCGTTGTGCGAGTTATTATACTACCATACGTTAAACATTTATTTTGCCGAAAAACAAAATATCACAATGTCAGTTTTCCAGTATTATGCAGCCCTAATGTGTGGAGCTCTGTACAAAATACAGCAGGATAAAAGAGAGAATGAAAGAGAGACAGAAAGGCCTACTGATAGGGAATGTAATGGAGTCGGTATGATGTTGTGGCAGTGATTTAGACTCAAACCAGTGTTTATTCAGTTCATTATATTAACTGACATATTGATCGAGTCAGTAAGGAGGAAGGAAGAATAACATCCTCTTTAGGGACTATCATCTTTACTCAGTCAGACAGCTTGAGCTCTAACACAAACAGCACATACGATCAATATTCAACACACACATCAACAGTGATACTTCATGCTGTGTTCTCAGTGACACAACGACTGAGCAAAAAACATGCTTGTTTTGACACGCACAAGACAGTATATGGCAGTCATTACTATTAAACAGCCAAAACAATCCCTTAACTAACATTAAAATACGGATATAAATCTGACTTGGACAAGAAAGCAATCAGCTAGCAGCCACCCAGAACAACCAGCAACATGGTAAAGGGCTAAAAACACTCAGGGCACACTAACAATTGCATAGCAACACCATGGCAACCATGCACTTTTTGTATAGACAAGCATGCTTGAAATCTAGATACATCAAAACCCACATTACATATCGTTAAAAAGTTTCAAAAGAGTCAGTAAGATTTTTATTCAACAAGGATGCATTACATTGATCAAAAGTGACAGTAAAATAATATATATTGTTACAAAAAAATGCTGTTCTTTTGAACTTTGTTCATCAAATAATACTGAAAAAAATGCATCACAGTTTTTGAAAATTTAGCTTTGACATCACATGAATAAATTGCATTTTAAAATATGTTAAACAGATAACCGTTATTTTAAATTGGAGTTTTATTTTACAGTATTACTGTTTCTTGTATTTTGATCAAATAAATGCAGCCTTGGTGAGTATAAGAGACTTCTTTCAAAAACATAAAAAAATCTTACTGACAACAAAAATATTACAAAATCAAGAGAGTTGTCATGTTAAGTAAGTATAGCTGTCTCTAGAAAATCTCCAGAAAAGTCACCAAAAGTAACAGTAACTGTGTTCCTATGAAATTATCACATTTTTCTGATCGCAACTGGCACCTTCAAATTCACCAGAAAACCTCATTCACATCTCATGTTCGACACTCAGATGTGTATTACAATATGAGATATGAGATATGAGACCAAATGTCCCCACAAGGATAGTAACACCAGTACATTTTGACGTTCTGGGGACATTTATTTATTTATTTATTTTTTGGTCCCAATAAGGAAACAAGCTTATAAATCACACAGAACGAAGTTGTTTGAAAATGTAAAAATGCAGAAAGTTTTGTGAGAGGGGAAGGTTTAGATCTACTACATCTACATTACATCTTTGGAATGTGCCCATAAAACATGAAAACCCAAATTGTGTGTGTGTGTGTGTGTGTGTGTGTGTGTGTGTGTGTGTGTGTGCTGAACTCAAAGCAGCTGAACCCCAGCCAAAAAACCTTAGGACAATACCTCTCAGCTCTCTGTGGTTTCACAGTTCTGCAATGTTGCAGGTTACAAGAAAATATAACGTAATTTTAGATTTGGTTTGCACAGGCATGCTCTATATTTATCCACAGAATAGCTAAACACCTTCATGAAACTCTCTCACACTCTCACATTCCTTCACAAATCAGTCTCACTCACACCTGCAGCTAATACAACCAGCTCAACAAAATCTATTAATAATCGCAATCATGTTCAGTAGAGATACTGCAGAATGTTTCTGTTATGGAAATGACAAATATTGCTTCAATCTGATCAGATGCCAGCATGTTCTCCATGACAGACTGCAGTCAGTGTCTAATAAATAATAAATAAAAAATCTAATTCATTCCCCACCATTAAGGTGCATTCTTTCTTTTGTTGGCATTTCCTATTCAAACAAGAAGTTAAGGATCAACTATTTATTTATATAGTCAAAAACCTCAGCTTGCACTATGGACAAAAGCAATGTAATATTTTCAAAGCCAATACATTCCACAGTTGATGGTTGTGGAAGGAATAAACTGTGACTGTTTGCACCAGTGAACCATAATTTGCTACTTCCTATTCCTAGTTTTCATGTGACGTCACATCCTTACAGAAACCATTGGTCCATGGCGATGGTGTAAAAGGTGGGCGTTGACATTAAAACCTTCTCTTATAATAGAAAATAATAGTAATTCTAATTTAAAGTGACACTGATACTATTTTATTCATGTTTAATATTGTAAAGCAGCTTTCTTTAAAGCAATATATTTTATAAAGTGCTATATAAATAATCATGACTTCATGAAAATTGCAGAGCCGGCACAAGCTATGATCAGATGCTTTCTTAACTGCTGCTTTCTCACTACTGTCATTTTTGTGGTGTATTTGTTGAGAGGTAAGCGTGCAGCGCATATTTACATATTCATCTAAACGCTGCTCTCAGCATTATCAGGATGTTTGCTAAAAGTATACCGCTGCAAATTCTTCTGAACTTCTATTTTCCCCCTAAACAAAGAAAGAGAACTTCACTCTGAGTATATCAAAGACTATAGATATACAAAGACGGTTCATTCCTTTTACTTATGAATGGGAGAAACTGCAACTAGTGTTGGGTCGTTTTTGAACGATTCGTTCATTTTGAACGAATCTTTAATGTGACTCGAGAAGAACGAGTCGTCTCGGGGAGTGATTCGTTCAGTCGCGCATCCGCAACATCCTATAGGTTCTGTACTGGAATTAGTCAAGTAGTTCACCTGTTTCGAGTCTTCAGGTTTTTCGAGTCGTTTGTTCATCACGTGACAGCCCCATAAGTTTAACCAATGCAGTCGGAGCCGGAAAGAGACTTAATAATAATAACCAACTCTTTATTACCTTTGTTACAACATTCAGTGTTATGGAAAATAACATTTTAATGATATTTTGCTAAAATTAACGAAATGACTCGAAAAAAGATTCGTTCATTTTGCTGAACGAGACTCAGAGGTCCGAGTCGGTAAACTGATCCGAACTTCCCATCACTAACTGCAACGCGAAATATGGCGGAATATGTCCCGCCTTCTAAACGAAAGAGCCAATCGCTGATTGGTAAAGTCATTGCGTCACTGCAGCTGCCGTTAGAAGCTAGCGATTATGACTGCACATATGCATTGACTGGTCTAGCCTGTGAAATATGCTTTTTTAACTCTATTTGAGCATAAGGAACAACAAATATGGATTTTGTTGCTTCTGATTTGAAATATGTAATTTAATTGTGAGTTCAGCAAGCAGTTTTTGAGATTTCAGGATTCCCCCATTCATTTAGATAGGACTTGGTCTTGGATGCTCGAAATAGCTGCCCGAAGACGTTGCAACTATGGCCACCGAGTGAAGAGACTTTCCTTGAAATGGACTTTGGAGTATATCAGACAAATTGCATGCCAAAATTGTACCTAAAATTCATGTCGGTGTGAATAGGCCTTATGTGTCCACCAAGAAGAGTCGGTTTTTGGAACACAGCAGCAGTTTTATTGGATATGCACTCACCGATATGTCGAATATCTCCTCTGAGTCATCCAGCAGCAGGACTCTAATGGGCACCAGGCGTCCAGGTGGCATAGCAGGCGGTTTGTGTCCAGGCTCCAGGGTGCTGATCCCCAGAGTCTCTGGGGCCCCTAACCTCTGTCCCGCCAACGACATTTGGCCCTGTTCCACCATGGTCTTCCTCGCTCAGCCTGCACACAACAAACACACACACAAACGTCACACTCCGGCTAACACTGCGTGTGTATGATTCAGGTTTTGTCTGCGTTCTATGTCCCACAAGGATAGTAATATGTACTTAATGAACATTTGCAAATGAAGAAGTTGTGTATTTACGCTGATGGTTCTTGACATGTCAATAATGTGAAGGTTAAAATAGTCTTTTTGGCCTGATGGTTTTGTGCTCTCCTCAGACAATGAACCTATTACACAGATCCAACTTCTCATATCTCTCCCTCTCTTTTCTCATCATTTTCACTGTTTATCACACATGCCAGAGCACTGATGTCATTACTTCTAAACTAAGGGTCGACGTGAGAAACAGAGGGGAGGAAGAGAGACAGGAAGAGAGAACGCGAGCAGAGTGACAGAGAGTGCAGTCAGAGGGAAATATGGAATAACAAACACTGATCTCTGTGGATCAGATGACCATATGTGACTTCCACTGCTATGTATCTAAGCGATCTTCAAAAGAACCTTCCAATTCAAGATATTCACTAGTTTGTGCTCATATATCCCTGATTAATAAATAAACACAAGGAAATAACTGCATTTTTGTCTTCCTGACAGTATTTTTTCTTTATATTTTTATCTAATAATTTGTGCCTGAGGCCAAATTACTGCCCAGAGAGGTCATAATAATTTATCTTAGGATAGACAATAAATAAATAGGTAAATTGTTACTTTATTAATAAAGTTACTTTCTCCACTGTTTGCATGTATACAAACAATTTCATTCATCTCTGTGATTTTTATAGATTTAAATGAATCAAGGTGCATTGTAAAAATAGACCTCTGATATAAACTGGGCTGTTTAGTTTATAAGCTACTATCCATAAAACACATTGGAGAGAAGCAATAAAGCATAGATCTGCTCTCAGAGGTTATCCAGAGGGGGAGGGTGAAAGATCAGACCAGTGCCAGCAAAAAACAAACCCACCATGCGAAACACAGCCAATGCTTTGCCAGTACTGTTTAAAAAATTCCATTCATTCAGTAATGCCCAAAAAAATCCCTGGAAAAATCATCTGCACTGATGGTAATGCAAGTACATCTTCAGACACTGGTGTCTTTTGTTTGGCTGGGAAATGAAGCTGCCACATGCACAACACATCAAGATATATAAAATTATGATTTTACACTCAAAAAAATGCTGGGTTAAATACAACCCAGTGCTGGGTAAAATAGGGACAAACCCAGCAATTGGGCTGTTTTGACCCAGCGGTTGGGTTAAATGTTTAACCCAACCTTCTGGGTAGTAACCCAACCGCTGGGTCAAAACAACCCAATTGCTGGGTTTGTCCCTATTTTACCCAGCACTGGGTTGTATTTAACCCAGCATTTTTTAGAGTGTACAAAAAAAATCCCTATGTGAGACCACTGCTGAGATGGGCTCTCAAGTTTTTAAACTCCTATAGGCTTTCACATTGAATTTATAACGGACCTTATTCCCTGAAATCATTCACCCTTTTAAACCTCGAAAACATCCATAATTCAAATCATACTCTCTAAAGAATGCTGGGTGGTTTCAACCCAACTTTGGGGGTTAAAAATGTAATGTAAAAATTTAACCCAACGGTTCTTTGACCCAAAGTGTTTTAGAGTGAGACTGCTTTTTCGTGGTCTTTCAACATTAAAATGAATTACACGTGGAAGGTTTCAGAATGGCTCGTGGAGCGCTTTATTCTTTCAGTGCGCGTTCTGGTCGCGTCGCGTCGAGGCGGCACGGCACCACAAGTCAAGTCGAGCTTTATTGACTTGACTCACCTCACAGCGTTCAGTCAGGTGCAATAAAATGAATGAAAATCATTTAAATTCTAAATCGACTTTCCATTGTCTATTTTAAAATAGCGAAATAATGTTGAATATGTCACTCGTAACCACGAGTTGGCTTTGATTTAACGACCAGACGTTATTTAAACAATTAGGCTGTTCATAACACTCAATGCACACATATCATATTTATACGCTCATTTTGCTTCAGACTGAATGGGGAAATAGAAAATAGAAATGGAGCGTCCGTCGCGCGCTTGCAGTGAAAACAGCGCCGGTCGCGTCGCGTCGTACGCGTACAGGCGATGTAAACTGAACAAAGCGCAGAACAGGTCTATTGGCGTCTAATGTGAATGTCCTTAGAGGAACACATTATGTATGTATTCGATATGCCTTTTGCTCTGGGCTTCATCAAGTGAATGGACTCATAATACAGCCTATAGCAGAACGCGTGTCGGTGCATAATAGAAATATAACGGGACGGACCTTCAGCGATGTCCTCAGTCCTCAAACTCAAATCTGTGGCTAGATTTACCCCTTAATCTCTTCCAAGCACAGAGCACTGTGAATGAGAAGATGAATCCATACGCTTACCCCGATTATAAATCCACTGTGTACAAGTGTGCGTTTGTCCACGAATGCACCGAGCGCGACGGTGATGCTGGCCGCCCGGAGCCGCTTCAGATGCAGGTTGTCGTGGAGCATATGAGCGTCCTCGCAGTCGCCATGTCGGCCGGTGGAGAGACGGGATTACACTGACTGAGCACAGCACAGATCCAGCCAACACACGAGTTTTGCGTTCATATGCTGCCATCTGCAGAGTGAAGCACCATAACGCAGTCTAACAGTGAGCTACTAACAGTAGCCAAAGGAGCCTATATGAATTACATCAGCCAGTTCTACAGCCAAATTTGTCAGTTTCTGATCTTGTCAAAAAGTAGGCTACATTCAAAAGTACACCTGCACAATATTTCAAAGACAATAGAAGTGATTATGATGAAATTACATCAAATGTACTTAAGTGGGTAAATAGTTTTTCAGCAAAATGAAACAGTAAAGCAATTATCAAATAACTCTTTTGACCAACAAATATTGCAATTAATAAACTGTATCAAATTTAAAGCCGTAAAAAATGCAGCATGATTGTGTGACATATTAAAATACTCTTTAAAATCTTCTTTAAAAATGAGTGGAATTCTAGTTATTTCAAAACATAGTTCGCCCCAAAATGAAAAATGTACTTCAAGTCAAGTCTGCTTTATTGTCAATTCTTCCACATGTACAGCACATACACACAGAGAATGTATAACTCTTATGACTCAGAGTCATAAGACTCTTATGACTCTGTATAACTAAGAGAATGAAAAACTTATAACTCACCAAGATGTAGATGAGTCTGTTTCTTCATCAGAACAGATTTGGAGAAATGTAGCGTTACATTACTTGCTCACCAGTGGATAATCTGCAGTGAATGGGTGCCGTCAGAATGAGAGTCCAAACATCTGATAAAAACATCACAATCATCCACATGTAGTCCACACCACTCCAGTCCATCAATTAACGTCTTGTGAAGTTAAAAGCTGCGGGTTTGTAAGAAACAAATCCATCAAGACATTTTTAACTTCAAGCCATCACTTCTGAAATACGAGTCCACAGTCTTTATTTCACAAGACATTAACTGATGGACTGGAGTGGTGTGGATTACTTGTGGATTATTGTGATGTTTTTATCAGCTGTTTGGACTCTCATTCTGACGGCACCCATTCACTGCTGAGCAAGTGATGCAATGCTACATTTTTATACAAATCCGTTCAGATGAAGAGACAAACTCATCGATATCTTGGAAGATGGTGAGTACATTTTTAGCAAATTTTCATTTTGGGGAACTATTCTTTTAAACTCCTTTAAACTGTTAATTTGCATCATAGTTAAATGTTAATTTAGCTCTGTACTGTGCTTAACTTATAATCCTTATAAAAGCACAATCAACCCTGTTGCTGTCTCTCAGCTTTTCATTCCTCTTTTATGACAGAAACTATACGTATTGGGTCTAATGGCCACCTGCATATATGGATCTTGATACGTGTTCTGCTTTGAATTCTTATTTTATTTAATTGAAATGCATTTCCTTTCCCTCTTCCTGGAGTGTTTCCTTGTTACGTTTCTCTTGGCTATTTCTTGGTGAAGTAAGCCTGTTAAATGTCTTTACTGTATGTGAATAAATAAAAAAATAAAATGTGTAATCTATATACTGTGTTCAGCTGGTCATTTTTACATAATAAACCCCTTCAGGCTGATGCACACATGCCAGGATCTCCAAATTACTTTTAAAGCAGAAATACAAATTCACTTTAAGACATCTGTGGGCAGTCATGTGTGTTTATTGTATTTATAAAGCAGGTTTCTCCAGGTAGAAAGATCGTTCCTGCAACAAGTGTGCTGTAGATCACATTCCGTATATGTAACCCCTCTCTCCCGGGTCCTCTCCGCCACACCTCGTTCTTGTTCCGAGTGGGTCTCAAACGTGGGTTTTCCTGCACAGCACCTACTCGCTGGCCTCTGTTACACTCACCCCCCTAATCCTCAGTCCCATCCGGGTCACGGCACCAATGTAACCCCTCTCCTCTCCGCCACACCTCGTTCTTGATCCGAGTGGGTCTCAAACCCGAGTCTCCGGCATGGGAGGCGGACGCACTAACAAGGAGGCTAAAGACTGCAGCTTCTAGCGTCAGTTGCTAGTGCATCCCTTGAGATCAGGGGAGTGAGGTTTTCCTGCACAGCACCTACTCGCTGGCCTCCATTACACTCACCCCCCTAAACCTCACTCCCATCCGGATCACGGCACCAATGTAACCCCTCTCTCCCAGGTCTTCTCCACCATACCTTGTTCTTGTTCCGAGTGGGTCTCAAACCCGGGTCTCCGGCATGGGAGGCAGACGCACTAACAAGGAGGCTCCGTTACATATACAGTATTTGTCATATGACAAGCAGCTATCCTGATGGATTTGATAGATGGTGTGTGTCCTTATCTTCCCCCACTAACTATTTTTGGCTAACCAAATCCCTGCAAATTAGAGTGTGAAATTGGCAGTATATGTTGCCATGCTGTTGCCATGACATCCAAGCCAGTAATAAGTCTCATGTTGATGTCTGAATGTTCCCCTCGCTGCTCTGCTCTTACATCCTCTGTCCATTTCCCATGTCCTCTCTTGGCTGCTTTTCCCTGCATTCCTTTGTCCAGTGAGTGGGCAGAGAGTTCAGGTCCGCCAGAAAATATCACTCCATATAACAGCAGCTTACTGTTCACATAGACTTTCCTGTTTATGTGTACCGAATGATACTATGTACTCAACCAAAAAAAGCTGTACACTGCCTGCTACATTTTAGTATACAGAGTATGCTGTATATTTTATGGTACACTACCAGTCAAAAGTTTGGGAAAATGTTTTTGAAAGAAGTCTCTTATGCTCACCAAGGATACATTTATTTGATGAAAAACACAGTGATCTTGTGAAATATTACAGTTTAAATTAACTGTTGTCTATGTGAATGCATTTTCGTTGTCTTGGCAAAGCTGAATTTTCAGCATCATTACTCCAGTCTTCAGTGTCACATGATCCTTCAGAAATCATGCTGATTTGCTGCTCAATTATCAATTATAGTTCTTATTATTATCAGTGCTGAAATTAGTTTTTGCTGCTTAATACTTTTGTGGAATATTTCTTTACTGCATTTTTGATCAAACAAATGCAGCACTGGTGAGCATAAGAGGCTTTTAGAGCCTGGTGAGCATAAGAGGTAATTATTCCCGACTTTTGACTAGTAGTGTATATATACTACAAAAGTATGCATGATGCAATGATATATCTTGAGCTTTAGTATGCTACAATTTTGTCACATAACCTCACTATACTATACAAAATTATTTTGTAATTATTTACTAAATAATATGTAAGAAACAAACATTATTGCAGTTTTTTTGCGCTCAAATACATACATAAATTGTAATCAATGCATTTGAATAGAAATGCCCAAGTAATATGCACTTTTTATGTACTTTGTTTTATCATATCAAATCATAAATACAAGTAAAAATGTAGGCTGCACAGTCTGGTAATAGCTTCTACACATGCCTTCTGATATTAGATTTCTGTTATTATCTTTAAACTAAAACCATTAAAAATGTTACTTGAAACAAAATAACCATGAACTGAAATTATATATACAGTGGGTACGGAAAGTATTCAGACCCCCTTAAATTTTTCACTCTTTGTTATATTGCAATGGCTGCAATATAACAAAGAGTGAAAAATTGAAGGGGGTCTGAATACTTTCCGTACCCACTGTATATATATATAACTTTTATTAAAGTAAAAAAAAAAAAAAATCAACTAGCTGCCAAAGCAACATTTCTCATTTTCATTTTACTTCAAGTATTAAAATAACTAAAACTAAATAAACACCATTAAAAAAATAATAAAATATATATTAACATTAAAAAAAACGAATAAAAATTACAAACACAACAAAATTATTAAAACATTAACAAATTAAATAAATAAAAACAGAACATATACTTTTAATGTATTTTCAGAAAATATTAATCTAATTCAAAATATTAAAAAACAAACTATATATCAGTGATACTCCAATAACACTGCCGTTACAGATCCTATGGTAGAAGTCACAAATAATTTAACTACACTCATTTCCCGTGTGTCAGCCAGCTCCATGTAAAATAAAACAGCTTTTATTGAACTACTGATGTGACTGGAGACTTCATCTCAGAAGCTCTATTCGTGTCTTCATGTGTAAAACTTTTATGATGATGGAAAAACCTCTACGGCACCTTAAAGTCAGTTTAGATGGAAAGCATCTGTTAAATGTTACACAACTAACTTGTATCTCTCACAACTAAATAGTTTAACAGCCATCAAATAAACAAAACCTGCCTGATGGAAAACAGAGCACGTCGTGTGTATGTAGCTATTCAAACAAACTGCAGGATGTGCTTTTGTTCTTCACCGTAACGTTCTGGTAAAATATTTCTCATTTATAAAGCGCCATGTGTTTGGACAGTGTGCGTGTAGGTTATAAAACAGAGAAAAAACACAGAAACTGCACTGCAGTGTCAGATGCACTTTATTTGGGTGCCAAACAGAACAACAAAAAAAAGAGTGTCACCATTCAGAAGAGTTGAGCACAGCTCCACATAAAAAAATATAAAAATCAATACTGACTCAGAGCTCTCTATTCAAACACACACACACTCACACACCTCCATAATCTCTATATATTCAGCCTTGAGATCGAACCTCAAGCCCAGCCAAGAGGAGGATACCAACAAAAACTGGCAACCTCTGTACAAATGCATCCACAGTCAACCAACAGCCATCATCATCTGCATCAATGACCCACACGAGCATGGAAGAATACTGAGAACGAGGGCAGAAAGGGGCTGAGATGCTGAAGAGATGCGTGAGAAAGAGAGTGATAAACTAGAGAGAGACAGAAAAAGAGACGAGTCCTACAGAGCCATATGAGATCCTAAATGAACAGATCTTCTGTGTGTCCAGATGTGGAGGGCGATACGTCCCCTGTCCCGCATGAGCAGTCCAATCAGAGACAGGAGCTTATGCTGCATTCCATTCACTTGGAAAAGTGCAATAGAAAGTCTCTTGACACTTGGAAAACACAACTGAGGGTTCCTTCCTGATGCAGACATGGTGGAAGTCGGAGAGATTTACACTCAACATTTAAGCAAATAAAATACATCAAGGAGGCAAAAGGTCCAACATTGCATGATGCAACATGTTTAGCAAACATATAAAACAAGATAAATGATCCTCTCTGCTGACACACCAGTAGAATAGCTGTTAGTGTTGTAAAGCACAGCGTCCCCAATTTGGTTGCTAAAAGAGTTTTTTGTTCACAATGGTTCCACTGCGAAGCGAATGGTAGAGTTGCCATTCTGTTTCCTGAAGTCATCTTCTGAATGCCGGGAAACATCTGACTTTGAACGGAAGCAGCATAAAGACAAGAACTTGTTCCAAAACCTACTGAGCTGCCTTACTGTTTAGCTGGAACTTTCTATGTAGACTGATTTTGTGGACTGAACAGTTTATCCAGATAAAAATTGTGATTGCAATGTACATTTCACATTGTCAATTTCATAAAACTCATAGTGATTATATCAATATGACTATATGAAATAAGATTTATTATTGTTAATATGGTTATCATTATAATTAAACATTAAAACACAAAATTAATTACTATAGTAAATAATGCTGTTTTTATGGAAGCCCGTTTCCGCCACTGAATAAAATATAAAAAAGGTAATTGCGACTTTTTATCTCACAATTCTGACTTTTTTCTCGCAATTGCGAGTTTATATCTCACAATTCTGATTTTAAAACTCGCAATTTTGACTTTATAACTCGCAATTGCGTGTCAGAATTGTGAGATAAAAAGTCGCAATTACATATGTTTTACTGTAAAATAAAATAAAATAATAAACCATTATCAAACATTAACCCATCAAACTTTTACTTTGGTGGAAAACTGCAGAGAGCCCCTTAAATCAAAAGGGACAAATCTTAATTTTGATGGTATACTGCAGTGTTTATTTTATGATTTACCCGTCTGCAGGATTACTTTTTTTATTTAATTTAAAGCAACCTGTCAATCACAAGCGACTGCAGCAATTAGCAAACGACAACGATGCAATCAATTCCCAAAGAACATAATCAAGCCCCGCCCAAACTTTTTTCTTGTTTGAGAAGTAACAAAGATGGTCACAACTTCCATTTCATGCTGACTTTAAAGCTTCTCCTTTGTTGACTGGTTCGTTGACAGGTTCATAAATGTTTTATAAGCGACTGAAATCACTCATCATAACTTCACTCTGAAATGTGCAATGTATATTTATGTAATTAAACTGCAGCCCTTGTGACTGCACAACTGCACAAAACCATATCACGATTTTGAGTTCATTTTGATGAATCTACTGTGCGTCACACAAACTGCTGCTTATGTGAAGTGCATACAATTGGATTTGGAGAGTTTGACATTAGCATGTCGCTACGCTAACAGCATGATATGCTACATGTGTGTGCAATGCATACGAATGCATACAACACACACATATTACAAAAAAAGAGATTTTACTATTTTCAGCAAAATATGAGTGAAATGAAATCCAAGAATATTTAGAATCTCGTCCACCATCTTGGATGAATTTTTCATAGAGCTCACCGCAATGCATTCTGGGAATGCATAAGGAACTTAGTTTGGGCTTTAATTCTGTCTAGTTAGGCAGTTAACTAGGTTTTGGAACAAGGCTGTCAGTCACCTTTTCTGTGTCAGAAAAGAAATTGATGAGAAAATGAAGATTTTGAGGGATTTATTCCCAAATAAATGGACATTCTTGGATTTGGAGAGTTTGACATTAGCATGTCGCTACGCTAACAGCATATGCTACATGTGTGCAATGCATACGAATGCATACAACACACACATATTACAAAAAAAGAGATTTTACTATTTTCAGCAAAATATGAGTGAAATGAAATCCAAGAATATTTAGAATCTCGTCCACCATCTTGGATGAATTTTTCATAGAGCTCACCGCAATGCATTCTGGGAATGCATAAGGAACTTAGTTTGGGCTTTAATTCTGTCTAGTTAGGCAGTTAACTAGGTTTTGGAACAAGGCTGTCAGTCACCTTTTCTGTGTCAGAAAAGAAATTGATGAGAAAATGAAGATTTTGAGGGATTTATTCCCAAATAAATGGACATTTATAAAGTCTTCATTAAATTATTATATGGCTATATCAAGCATATGGCTAAGAACCCTCTTATTTTCTCTCTCTCGCTCTCTGACCTGGTGACAAATTCAGATAAAGTCATCAATACCATAAGACCAAGAACGTAAATGTCCAACTCATCGCCACTGCAGGATCCTGCTCAAACAGGAAACGTGAAACCTAAGGCAAGTGCTCTTCCTGTGGTTGAGTCAGTCAGGATTTAAAGTGACAAGAAAACAAAAAAATCCTCAGAGTTACTGTCAGTCTGCAGGTCCATCAAAGCTACTGTAATGTGAGTTCTCTGAGTGTGTGCTATTGGGGGGTTATTGTATATTGCAGGAGGAGCAGCACGGATCATCTTTATCCGGCTGTGCCGCGTAGTCCATCTGCCGTACGATCTCGGCAAAGAGTTCGTCCACCATGGTCTTGCTCTTGGCAGACGTCTCGATGAACGGACAGCCCCACTCCTCGGCCAGCTCCTGTCCCTCCCTCACAGACACCTCTCGCTCGCCCTCCAGATCCACCTTATTCCCCACCAGGATCACAGGGACCTTCTCATACCTGAAAACACATTTAGTTTCTCTCAGAACAATCAAACCGCATTTATGCAAACCATTCCTTGTGAACAAGAACAAGGGTACTTATTTAAAGAAATTATATACTTTAAAATAACTTCTTTAGTTTAAAGCATGATAGATGGTTTGCCAATGATTTGAAATGTACATTAAAGTAAAGCCCTTAGGTGTGTTAAGAAACAGTCATGAAACTTTCCTTCATTTCATTAATATATTATCTGCAATATATAGTTTTTAAAAAATATACTTTTATTTGAAGTACTCTACAAGTGCACAGTGCAAGGGCATTTACTTTAGGATGCATCCCAGTAGCTTATTTTCCAGAAAGAATCCTGAAAAATTCCTGTTTTTCAGTGGGATCTTAATTGATCCTTAGGGAATTCTTAAATGATTACAACCAGTTTAAAATATGATCGAATTCTATTAGCAATTTTTTGTGCCACTTGTTGCTTACATTTTATTTTCAATGGCATTGAATGCAGTCAAATAAGCTCGGATTTAAAAGCCCCATGAAAAAGTCTAATTTGTATCTAGTCTGTATTTTCTGTATAATACTCAGGAAGTCTTGAATAACAAAAGAACAGTTTTTAAGAACAAGTTACAACTGCTGTAATACATCCCAACAATTTATAAACTTCCACATTTGCTTTCCCGAAAGCACTTACTCTCCTCCTACAGGCCAAAAACCAACCTCAAATGACAAAAACCAAGGACAAAACATTCTACTTCTAGTAGCTAAACATTAAAGATAAAACATGTTTGAAAAATGCATTTATAAAAAAAAAACAATAAAAACACAAAATAAAGTTATCAAATTGCATTTCAGACATAAAAAAAAAAACATTTTGCAATTTTCTGAACATGCCCACAACAAAGTGAATTTCCTATTTTTGAAAGATAGACAGACAGATAGAAAGATAGATAAAAAGATAATTTCAGGGTGTTTTGAATGCTCAAATGATTTTGATTAATTCAAGCCTTCCAGATCTCTAAATTACAGCTACTTGCAATTGCACTTGACTAGAAACCAGAAACTATGATTTTAATAATGATAATAATAATTATTCTATTTTAATCATTATTTTATGGACTACTTTTATTGCTATTGTGGTATAAGGGGAGGGATATTCAGACATGAATACATACATAAATGCATACACATATATATATATATATATATATATATACACTAGTGATGCGCGGATCGGGTGGGGCGGGTAATAAAAAAATGCATTCTGATTATTTGCGGGTGGGTCGCGGGTGGATAAAATAAATCATTAATGATGCAAGTATTAACTACCATTTTCTAAATTATGAACGTGTTTTAAATAGGCTACAGAAATTGAATAAACTGTAAATTAACATTAAATGTTATTCAACAAAACATTAACTTTTCCACGACATTCTAATTTATTGAGATGCACCTGTATATGGACTAAAAGCCACAAGACCACTGTTTTAGTTTCATTAAAGTCTTTACTATGTTTCCTAAATACATGCGAGCAGCGTTTGAACTGTGGATCAGGTTTAGTGTAGCGATGAAGAGCATCGCATCACTTGAGCATGAGTCTTTCATGCAGACAGCAGTGTTTGAACACTGGATGCGGCACATCAGGGCTCGAGCAACAGGCCTGTAGAGAGGCCCAGCTGCACTCACGGGCCAGTCCTGAGCACATTCGCAAAGCCCTGGCTCGGTCATAGGTCTCATCTCACCTCTTGACTCGGATGATCTGGTCTCTCATGGGCCTGATGTCCTGGAAGCTCTGCTGGTTCACCAGACTGTAGACCAGAATGAACCCCTGTCGGTTTTTGATGTACAGTGCCGACGGCGACGAGTCCACCTCGATCTCCTTACGGTAGAAATCCTCGATGGTCGGGTCGTACTTCTCAATAAACGTCCCGGTGACGAACTGCACGGTGAGGGCGGATTTACCGACCCCGCCGCTGCCGAGGACCACCACTTTATACTCGCGCATCTCTCCGGTCTGAACGGCTCAACGAATCAAAATAAACTCACACGGCACTCGACATGACTATGGCATTCATGTTTAGGGCGTTTAAACGAGCCTGTCCGCGGACTAAACACGCCTCGCTTCCCGCAGCAGCGCTTCATGATCACGGAGCACCGGGGAACGGCTGGATAGATACAATTACCAATAACTTTCGCTTTTTAGCTGCTCAGCTCACCATCCTATAGAAGTAAGCGAAGACTGCGTGGAGAAACCCAGCAGACTGCCTCTGGCATCGGTGAATTATTACACAGTCCGTTAAAACCTGATTACTTGCAGCGATCGGGGCGCATATTAGTGTTTTCCATCTCCGTCTGCCCTCTCCGGTCTTCATTTATACTCTAGCACACCGCCATGCTCACGGGTGGGGATCCTCCGCCGCGCCGCTCCGCTATTGTGAAGTCCGAGTCATTTTGGCGAACCGGTTGTTTCAAGCAGTTCGTTCGAAGGAACCAGTTCAAGAATGATTCACTGATTCTTTTACGACATGACGTAATTAGGTCATCTTCTGCTAGTTTCTTGAAACAGTGTGGCCTTTTTTTATATATATTTCTATTTATGAGGTTTAGTTTGATGATTCTATTTATGAGTAGGCCTACTATAGAAGTTGTTTCCGCCACAGAATAAATAATTAAAAACGTCATTTCGACTTTTTTCCCCCTCACAATCCACCCCATCCCCTATAAACTCAAAATTGTAAGCTATATACTCAGAATTCTGACTCTCGCAACAAAATACAACGCAATTCTGAGCGTATTTCTTATCATTCAACAAAAAGTCAGAATTGAGAGAAAAAAAGCTAATATTGTGAAATAAAAAAATGTGGCAGAAACATTGCTTTCACTCAACATGCTTATCAATTGTTCTTATTTTATCTAGCTAAACTATTTGTTTTCTGCTTTTGATATAAAAACATATTTACAATTGTATTTATTTATTTTATTTAGTCATTTAGCAGACGCTTTTATCCAAAGCGACTTACAAATGAGGACAATAAAAGCAGTCAAAACTAACAAAAGAGCAACATATATTTATATAGCATATAATATTTATTCTAATTTATCTTATTTATTCAGCTTATGTTATTATTAAATGTAATTATTATTATTAAATTATGTTCGTCCTTTTTGTGTGTTTTTCCTCTTGTTTGTTTCATGTGAAATTTTCTGTAGATGATCCTTAATTTTGTCCATTTCTGTTTCTTATAGTATTATGGGTAACAGTATGGGTACGTTACAATAACTCAATAGGCCTATAACCTTTTTCAGTCTTATTAATTCATATATTTCATGCATCCCCGTTGCGTTTAATGCCGCCATGATTGTAATGTACATTAAACAATACAAACATTCACTTCATGCTGAAAAGGTTCAATGAGTCGGAGAGTTGTTGACTCGAAAGCCGCTTGAGTTGATTCAGTCCAATGTGTAAATCGCTCCCTGTTGTGAAACGGTTAAAATGATTCATTTAAAAGATCCGACTCAATAGGGCGATTCACTCACGAACCGGAGATTTTTACGCCTCTTCCATCTCGGCTTCCGTACAAAAGGCGAAGGCAGGCGTTCTCGTCGGTTAACGGATTCTCGAGGTGTCCAATAGACGGCCGGCTGCCTGAAACCGCGTCCACGACACCGAACAGACCGAAGCTGAGTTTCCGCTTGAGTCAAAACTAGCCGGTTGTCATTGACGTTAAGGAAATGTTTGGGCGAAAAAAACCCTATAGCGGCGGCTGCGCGAGAATGCATGTTGTTGCTATGGAAACACGCAGTATTCACTCGGTAAAACACTAGTGACCCGGTTAGTGCTGTATTTTGTTTTTATGACATCTGTTTGCCTTCTGAACATATGTACTGTGTGTCCATTTATAATGATAAAATAGGGAACCATTTCAGTTTTTTATTGGGTTATTACATCCAAAAAAATAAATAAATACCAGGTTATTCAGACTAAAAGTGCAAACACACGTGATCATGATCTCAGAGCATGGTGAGTTAAACAGTCAATAGTTCATTAGATTCAACATTTTCTTTATGAATGCTGTCAATTTATAATAGCATAGGAATAAGGAAACACGAAAATAAGCTTGTTTTGAATTCAGTATATTCATCTAAACAGCACAAATGTTTGCAATGAGACAGACAGCAAGTGTTTCATCAACAGTAAGAGTAAAATCCCAATACAAAACAACTAATCGAACATTTCAATGTATTTGAAAGTTGTTTGTTGAAGAACAAACACAATCAGAAGAAGAAGAACAAACACAATCAGAAGAAGAAGAACAAACACAATCAGAAGAAGAAGAACAAACATAATCAGAAGAAGAAGAAAAACAATCAGAAGAAGAAGAACAAACACAATCAGAAGAAGAAGAACAAACACAATCAGAAGAAGAACAAACACAATCAGAAGAAAAAACAAGTAGGCTATTTTTAAAGGAAGTTATTTGTTGATGGTTGTGGCATATTTTGATTGTCTTCTATTAAACTTAGGCTAAGTGCTAAATAAATGTTTAAAAGCATACAAACACAAAAGTTAGTAAACTTTTAGTACAGTACACAATAACCCTGCTGGGCTTTAATTGATCTCACCACTGGCCAAAATTCTGTAGCTACAATTTAAAGCAACTGTAAGTAACTTTTTTTCAGTCGTCGTGTTATCTTTCAAGTGTATAATGCACATTCATAAAATAAAGTAACGGGCTGTTATTAGGCTAAGTATAAGTAGATACAAACGAGCTGGGCAATGTGCCACATCCAGTGTCGGGGAAAGTTACTTTTAAAAGTAATGCATTACAATATTGCGTTACTCCCTAAAAAAGTAACTAATTACGTTACTTAGTTACTTTTTATGGAAAGTAATGCGTTATATTACTTTTGCGTTACTTTTTAAATATAAGCAGGGCTTGATTGTTTCTAATATAATAAGTTATATTTATAGCAAATATAAAAGCCCTTTCACACCAAAAAGTGTAATGAATAAAGCTCAGGCTGAAGCAAAAGTAAATTCACGTCTGTACAGTAGAACGCAGGAGAAGAAACACTCTTCAGCAATAAAAAAA